GGGGAGAGGAGACCACACCTCCAGAGGAGCTGGGCAGGCCGGCCAGCATGCATCCCAGCCAGCATGCATCCCAGAGGCCAGGCAGGGGATCTGCCTCCAAAACTCAGGCATGGGGGGATGGGGGCAAGGAGTGGGGAGGGGGGCAAGGAGCTGGCTGCCCAGGAGCAGCCCCGCCCTCTGGCCCTCCCTCCTCCCTCCACCACCTACCCAGCCCAGGCAGAGGAACGGGCTCTCTGAGTTTGTATGTGTGCGTGCGTGTGTGCGAGTGTGCAAGTGTCTGTGTTTCCCCTCCCTTCTCCCCATCAGCCCGGCTAATCTTTGCAATCAATGGCCTCTTTGTGGCGAAGGGGGAGCGACACGACTGGAGTGTGGGGGAAGGGGAGGGAGGCCGCCTCCGGGGCGCCGGGCTCACCGCCGTCGGGGCAGGGCTCCCCGGAACCTGGGGGCCGTATGCTCCCCCGGCCGAGGGTGGCCACACCCTCTGGAAGCAGAGAATGCGCCTGGCGATGGTGGCCGCCCAGCCTCCCGGCCGCCCAGCCTCCCGGTGCAGCGGGGCAGGGGCCGGTCCCGCAGACCGGAAAAGAGGGGGACGCGCTGTCGCGGGGGCCCTGGCCCGCTAGGTGGCGCCGGGCGCGCTGGGCTCGGCTTACACTGGCAGCCCCGGGCTGCATCCTAGCCGACCAGCGCACCTGGACAGGGGTGGTGATGCCAGGTGTCTGCTCTAGGACCCACGAGAGAAGAGAGGGAGATAGCACCCGCTGTTCGCTCACACATTTGTTCATTTCCAGTTCTAAATGCCCGCGTCCTCAAAGGCCGCGGCCTCAGAGAGAGCAGGGCTAGGGCCCAGGACTGCTCCGCCCAGATAACCTGGGCCAAAAGCCAAGAGAGAAGGAAGCCACGGGGCGGGCAGGCGTTTGGCTCAGGGGTAAAACGTCCGCATGGGAGTGCCTGGGTTCGAGTCTGGCTAGGCCTCCAATGCCCACTTCCGGTAATGCACACCCTGGGGGCAGCGGTGATCGCTCAAATGATTGGGTTTCTGCCACCCAAGGGGGAGATCTAGTTTGATCCTGCTTTGCCCCGCCCTGCCCCAACTATTGTGGGCATTTGGGAAGTGAACCAGCACATGGAAGATTCTCTCTCTCTGCCCCTCCCTCTCTGAAGTGACCATCTTGAATAGCAGCACAGCACCCAGCTCTGAAATGAGGTATCTCAACCGTTCTCCCCGAACCAAATCGAGGTGTGCATTCCTGCCAATGCCAGACCCTGCGACGGCCATAGCACGCCACTGCGACCAGGCAGGCACAGCCCCTGCGCTCAGGGGCTTTGTGGACTGGTGGGGGAGAAGCCCGTCGGGCAGGTGGGTCCCCCTGCAGCTGTCATCCAAGCATGGGCACAGGCAGATTCAGGAGGGAGGCAGGCTGCTGGTGCCAGGCCTCGGCACTGCGGCACACGGGGAGTCTGCCTGAGGCAGAGTACCGGCTTCCCTCCTCTCCGCTCCAAGTGGGAAGGAGAACCCATGCCGTAACATCCAAAGCACATTTGGGGCCAGAGGCACCTGCTTCCTCCAGGGTTCTGCTGACTCCAGGGAAAGAGCTCCCCTTGACTGCTGGCTTGGCTCCATGTGCCAGGCTTGGTGGGCGACTTCTCACGCACTCTGCACTCCTCTCGGGGTGGGGGGGCTATGAGACCCACTCTGCAGAGGAGGAGAGTGAGGTTCAAGGGAGATCAAGGGAGTGGCCCCCAGTGCCCAGGAAAGCCTCTGCAGCAGAGCTAGAATGGAGAGGTGCACGTGGCCTCCGGGCCACAACGTGGCCTCCAGGCCGCATCCGGATGGCCAGGGGAGCAGGGCGGCAGATCAGGGAGATCGGAAAGGGAAGGGGGCTGGGTGAGCTAAGAAGCCCCCAGCTTGGGACCTGTCGCCACTTCCAGCTCATCACAGCCAGCGCGCTCTCAGCATCTCCTGACCAAACCCTCACCCGCTTAACATTCTGCTCAGTTTCCTCTGTGCTTCGACTCCGAATGTTTATCAACACATGCTGTAATGTAATCAGCTCCTGGGAAAATACACGCCAGGTAACGGATGCTGACAAGAGTGTCAAACAGATGTCCCCTCCCTGCCTGCCTCCCTCCCTGCCAGAGCCGGCACACCCAGGAGGCTGGGGAAGTGCTTTTCGCAATGGGGGCATTCCTGGGGCAGGGCAGAGGGCCAGCAGGGTGCCAGGCACTGGGCTGTGGCCTTTCCACACCTCATCTCATCAGACCCTAATATACAGCAATGCTGGGAGTTTGGTTGTACTATCCCCATTTTAGAGATGTGCAAACTAAGGTCCACAGTGATGATGAAACCAGAGTGAAACAGTAGAACCATCAGAAGCGATGATCTCTCTCCCCGTCCTTTGACGACCAGGTCACCTCCCTCCTGGGCAGGAGGTCATCACTGTCCACAGTTGGTACACGGAAGGGCCCGGCACTCTGTGCCCTAGGCGGCCAGAGCCTGGCACTCAGTGCCCTAAGCAGCCAGGTCTAAGGAGGTTTGCAGCCTGTCCTGGCTTCTGCTCCAGCCGGGTAGGAGATAGGGTACCCACTCTGTCCTGAAGGCCCAGGACCCAGTCCAAGAGGGAGGCTCCAACTGCAGGTGCAGGAGAGGGGGACTCTAGGGACTCCCCTTCTTTGTCCTTTTGTCTTCCCCTCTCCTGAAGCCACAGCTGAAGAGCCAACGGGCCCTAGACAGAGCAGAGAAGTGCACAGATTTGGGAAGAGTCCAGATGGGACAGGACGCCCCCACCCCCACCCCTCTGACCTCCCGGGTCCTCCCAGGGTCAGCTGTCTGAGGCTGGGCCAGTCCTAAAGGAAATCAGTATTTGCTTTTCCCTCCAACGCAGTCCACTGCTCCTTTCATCTGACGGGAGCTGTAAATGAGACTTTATGGGATTTCTAATGAGGATGGTTTCCCTTTATCGGCCTCCAATTCCCACTTCGTAGCTGGGGTTGACTCCGGCAAATGTTTTGACTGGGAATCAAGAAAGCTTGCAGACCCCTGCCCCTTCTTTCCATGGTGAGGGCTGGAGGCTGGCACAGAGGCGTCTGAGCGCCATGGAAAACTCATGACCCAAAGTCAGACTGGCTTCCAAAGTCAGGTTGGCTCCCAGAGGGCGGACTTGCCCTCTCTGGCTCCTGCTTCTTCAGCCATAAACCCGGAGCAATAATGCCTGTTCCACCCACCTATTCCACAGGGCTGCTGTGGGTGTCAAATGAGATTACAGGCCTGAAACCCCTTTGAAAAGTAGAAGGTAATCACCCAACCTGCCTTTGCTATTATTATTAGTGGTGCTGTTGAGATTGTGTGCAGGTGCAACCGGGAGAGCAACCTAGTCTCTGTGCATGGGCGTGCAGGTACCAGCCTGGTGGAAGAGGGGAGTTCTTGTGTTTGCATCTGCTCTTAAAAGAGTGCAGGGGACAGTGTCTGTGCATCTAGGCATATCTGCACACATTAAAGCATCTTAACATAAACGTGTCGTAGTGAGATGCAATACTATAGTCCCAGCACGTGCCAGACCCTGTGCTAAACACTTGATGTTGAATGTACCTTTTTAATCCCCATGACGTCTGTGTAAGGACACCAGAGTGAGAGCAGGCCAGTGTAGGTTGCGGGGCTTCTGTGTGAGGCCATGTGTACAGCATGGCAACATACGTGTGCTGGAAGGGGCGTGTCCCGGATGAATGTTGTCTGATGTGCTGTGGTGCCCGGGTAACAAGACCTCTCAGGGCGCCGGATTCTGTCCCGGTTGCCCCTCTTCCAGGCCAGCTCTCTGCTGTGGCCCGGGAGTGCAGTGGAGGATGGCCCAAGTGCTTGGGCCCTGCACCCCATGGGAGACCAGGAGAAGCACCTGGCTCCTGGCTTCGGATCAGCGCGATGCGCAGGCCGCAGTGCGCCGGCCGCAGCGGCCAATGGAGGGTGAACCAACGGCAAAAGGAAGACCTTTCTCTCTGTCTCTCTCTCTCTCACTGTCCACTCTGCCTGTCAAAAACAAACAAACAAACAAACAAACAAGACCTCTCTCCATGTGCTTGCCTGCATGTCAGTGAAAGCATGGGCGGATGTGAATGTGTGTGCATGCACCTGTGTTGTGGGCGCACATCCAGGGCCTTGTCCTCGGGCCGAGTAGTAGAACTGTATGGTACTTATGGCTGCCTGGGCTTTGCAAGCCCTCGGCATGCCCCGAGCACCATTGCCACACGGCCATCAAGCCCACATGGACACACCAGGGTGACAGCAGTGTGCTTGCGAGGCCTGCCACTCTGCTTTCTGGAGCCGCAGTCTGTGCCAGGCAGCAGAGCCCTGCCAGGACGATGTACTGATTGCCTATGCCGGGTTTGGAGCTGCAGGCACGTTCGGCAGACAGGCTGGGCTCAAGAGCACCTTCAAGTCCAGGGGACACATGCTTATTAGGAGAAACAGGTGTCTGGCCAGGAACACCATCTTAGCATACCAGGAGATGGGGTTGCTAAGTGGCCAGGTGCACAACATTCCTGCTGGGCCCCAGCTCTACCAAGTTCAAAGTCCATAATGCAGCTTAGAGATGCCCAGCATGATGCAGGAAGACCCCTCCCCAGCCCCCTCTCTCCTGCTCTCCAGCCCTACTGAACTACTCTGTGGTCTTCAATGCTCCCAGCCTCCAGGCCTCCTTGCTGCCAGTCCTCACCCCTCAGGGCTCAGCTCACCTCTGCAGGAGTCCCCCCCCAATCCTTCCTGGTCCCCATGCACCTGCCGTTCCCGTAGGCCCCTAGACCTGCCTGTCTTCCCACTTCCTTATCAACCATTGCCTCCCCCATTAGACTGTGGTCCCGGGATGGAAGGGAGAGTGTCTGTCACCCCAGCACCTAACACAGTCCCTGGGTGCAGGTAGTCCACAAAGATTTCTTGAGTGAATTACTGGTAAAAGCCTGGTGCCAGAGACTGGGTGCCTTAAGCTCCTCATATTTAATCATGGCTCTGGGCTCTCAGATCTCGAGGCTGGGGGGAACCACGCCCCCCCCCCCCCGCCCCACACCTGTAATAAGCATCTCCAACAGGTGTGAGGACCGGGGAGTTCACGAAGGTTCTTGGAGTCATCAACACCTTCTTGCCCGCCCTCGAGGAGACTGAAGCTCAGAATGATGAAATAGCTCATCCGTGGGGTGGCCAGCCTGGCCCAGGACCTTGCCAGTTTTTGCACTGAACGTCCCATGTCCCGGGACCCTCCTCAGTCACAGGCAAACGGAGACCATTGCTCACTCTTCTCGGCCGGGGTCCCACGGAGAGTGAGCTGCAGATCCAGGATTCTGGCCTCACGCTCCTGGCTCCGGATCACAACGTCCTCTCCCTGCTCAGCAGCCCCCTGGGCAGCCCGGTCAGTTCCCAGAGTCCAGGCCTTCTGGCCCTCCTGGAGCACCTCTCCCTGGGAGCATGAACTTGAGGAGCACGTGGCTTCAATATAAACCTAAATCAAACGCCATCCAGGAGTTCATTGCTGCAGGAAAAGTGCTTTACATAATATAGGGAAAAAATAGATCTACTATTAAAGTAACTTCATAATGATATTAAAGAAAATTTAAAAATAAAAAAACCTGAACCCACAAATTATTTCCATTTCTCCATGTCGCTGTCCTACTTTTTTCTTCACAGGTGCCTTTTTTTTTTTTTAACAGATGTGTAAGGCCGTGTGTGGGTGATACCTATTTTCTCCACGTTATAGCAATCTGGCCTGGACTTTCTTCGTTCGAGATTCTCCATGTCACCAGCGCCCCTCATTAGCCCCCCAGCCCAGCTAGTCAGGATCAGCGCTGCTCTCTCCCAGGGGACTCCTTCTGCAGCAGACCCACCTCGGGGCCACAGCTGGGCATCTGTGGGTGCCATGCAAACACTGGGCTTGTGCCTCTCTCTCGTTTCAGGGCAGAGTGACACCGCTTTCATCAGATCCTGAAAAGGTCTGTGACCCCGAGAGGGTAAGAGCCACAGCACCCCAGCCCAGCCCAGCTCCACGCTCCCCAGCAAGCGTCCACCATGCACTCACTGTGCTGGGCTCAGATTGACCCAGTAACTCTTTGCCCTTTGCTTACAACAGATTCCTTTTCCTGGCTTCCTTATGGTTCTCTCTCTCAAAAAAATCTGATTCCTCTAGGCAACTAGTCCACCCTGACCATTATCCTGACCACAACAGCCACCCCTGGATTTAAGGGCAGAGAGTGTGGGTGGGAGGTGGAGTGTCTTCTTCCGCTTGCAAAGTGCTTTCCTCTCTGACTCCGTCTCCACCGAGCGAGCTCCCGGCTGAAGCTCCCCTGGCCCCTTCCCATCCTCCTGACCTGAGCAGATCCCAGAAGCATCCCTGTCCTCAGAATCACTGTTGAGTTTTGAGTACTCCTACCCCAAAGCAGCCAGGCTGCCTCGACTCCCAGGCAGAAGGCTTTGGGGTTTGCAGCAGGCTGACTCACAGGTGTGTTTTGAGTGCCTTCTAACCAGAGGCAGGACACGCACTAATTCACCTGCTGGATCCTCTTCTTCCTGGAGAACTGGGTGGGACCAGGCCTTTCTATCACTGCTGAGAGCTCCAGCCCCCAGACCATGGAGAGCCCTGGGCCAGCTGCTGGCTGCCTGTTGGCCACCTCGGTACCACTGGGGTATAATCCATCAGTGGACCTGGGGGAGGGGGGGTGCAGCTGTGTTCAGCTTCCCCAGCCCCAAGAGCCCAGGCAGCCATGGCGATCGGGAAGCTCTGCAGTGAGCTCTGTAGGAATAACAATAATTAAATGCTGCTCCCATCATAATCACCACAGCCACCACGGCGGTGATGACAGTAATTAGGTGCTGTGGCTTTTCAGCCACCCCCCAGGAGCACTGCCTGGCTGAGGTTGCCTGCCAACTAGGGAAGGGGTCCCGTGCCAGGTGGGTCCTCCCGGGCTGGCCAGGGCCCTGGCTGTGCTTCCTCCGTGGGCTTCCCCTCCCTCCTCTCCCCTTGCCCCCAGCCTCAGCTGACCCCACACTGAAGACTGGGGACACAGGAGGGGTGGTCCCCATTCAGCATTCCACTCCAAAGGCAGTCTCTCCTATCTGCAGATGGCAGGGAATTAGGGAATCTTGGGGACTCTCACTAGGGCTCCCCTCACATCAAAGTGAGCTTTATTAGCCAATTACTGGATGACCCAGAGGGGCCTGGGATACTGCCGGGAGGGGAAGTCATTACTGTATTGACTTTGGGTCCTTTCCAAGCCCAACAGCTGCCTCTCTGAAAGAGCCTGGGGAAGCTGAGGGAGGGTTCTGGAAGCCATGCCTGGGGATGCCTCCTTCCTGGGGGCTGGTCTGCCTGACGGCCACTCCCCTGCCTCTGGCCCCCCGGGCAGGTGAGAAAGGTGAGCCCAACTGCTTGTCTTTGTCCTTTGTCCTCATCCCAGAGCCAGGAGGGACCGTGGAACCCATTTCTTGTGCTCTCCATGCCAGGACAAGAATCCCACCCACAGCATCCCTGACAAATGGACCTGCAGCTTCATTCTGAAAAGTGACTGGGAGTTCATTGCACTGTCACTGTCACTCACCAGGGACCTGGAGACGCAGGCTCCTTGACCCTGCCTCCCTCGGCCTGAGGCTTCCCGGGAATGCATGCTCCTGTCCCCTGCAGGGTTTGGAAGATGGCTAATCACACCTTCCTTCCACTCCCTGTGGCCTAGGACACCACCTTCCAACTTCTCCCCGCAGGTAACATCAGCTCCTGCTTTGTGGTGGTGACCTTTTATTAATTTCCTGGATCTCCATGCCCAACCCCCCACTGTACTGCTCTTTTCACCTTTCCCCCAGGCTCTGAGAAAGATACACCCCGGCCTTCCCTTGGCCGGGCCCTCCTCCACCCTCAGGCCCACCCTTACCTATCTCCAGGGCTTGCTCCATGAACCACACCCTCTTGTACTTCCTCCGCTTCCTTCTCCTGCTGTCTGCAAGATGTTCAGCAGTGTTGAGTTTCCCACCACTTGCACTTGGCCTGTCTCGCCAGCCCTGCTTCTGCTCATCATGCTCACTCCTTTGGCCACCAAACTTTTCAGAAGCAGCGAGGGCACCGGCAGGCTCTGTGGGTCACCCTCCGTGGGCTCCTCTTCCACCCTGGGTCTGCTGCTGCCCCCTCTCAGCCACCAGCATGGCCCTCTCACAGACCATTGGTGCTTCTGCCACTGTTTCTAAAGCCCCCTCTGATTCCCACCTGCACTCTGCAGCATCAGACACTGTCAGCAACCCCCGCTTCTACCACCCCTGCCATTACACTCTCTGCTTGCTCAGCTTCCATGACAACCCTGTCTCCTCGCTCCCGCCTCCCTCGCTGACCAAGCCTCATCTGTCCGTCCTACCCACATTGTTGCTAGAACCATCTTCTGAAAGCACAGCTCCCGAGGCTCCCAATCAGGGCTTCTCTGTCCTGAAACCTTCAATAGCTCACAACTGCCTGCGAGAAAAAAAAAAAAAATCACAGAGTTGTAAAATCATGCAACATGAGTATTCATGGATTTCAAAAATCCCATGCACCAGAAGAAACTTTTATCTTTTATCTTTTATTTGTTTATCTATCTTCATTTTATTTGAAAGGCAGAGAGAGAGAGAGAGAGAAAGAGATGTTCCAATCCACTGGTTCACTCCTCAAATGCTTGCAACAGCCAAAGCCAGGAGCTCAGAACTCCATCTGTGTCGCCCACATGAGTAACAGAGACCCAGGTACTTGAACCATCGCCTGCTGCCTCCCAGGGTACACATTAGCAGGAAGCTGGATTGGAAGTGGAGTTGGGAATCAAACTGGGTACTCTGACATGGGGTGTGGGTGTCCCAAGTGGCAATTTAACCATTGCACCAAATGCCTGCCCCTAAGAAACTTATCTTCTAATTCTATGATCTTGAAGCACCCTTGTATGTGCAATTCGTAATATATAATGCAAGCATCTGTCAGGAATTTGCAGAATTTTGCAAGCAGAAGAATCTTCAGAATCCACTGAGAAGACTCTTTCTCAGAAGCCAATGTTTAGGATACGTGAAAACAGCACGATCTGGGGCCGGTGCCATGGCTCACTTCGTTGATCCTCTGCCTGTGGCGCCGACATCCCATATGGGCGCCAGGTTCTAGTCCCGGTTGCTCCTCTTCCAGTCCAGCTCTCTGCTGTGGCCCGGGAGGGCAGTGGAGGATGGCCCAAGTGCTTGGGCCCTGCACCCGCATGGGAGACCAGGAGGAAGCACCTGGCTCCTGGCTTCGGATCGGCGCAGCTCCAGCTGTGGTGGCCATTTGGGGGGTGAACCAATGGAAGGAAGACCTTTCTCTCTGTTTCTCTCACTGTCTAACTCTGTCAAATACTAATAATAAAAAAAAAACAGCATGATCTTTCTTTTTTTTTTTATTCCCCAGATACCTTTTATTTAAGGAATACAAACTTCATGCATTTCATAAATATAACTTTAGGAACACAGTAATTCTTCCCACTGCACCTGCCCTCCCAGCCACACTCCCACCCCTCTTCCTCCTCCCACTCCTATTCCCATTCTTATCTTTTTACTAAGATCTATTTTCAATTAACTTTATAACACATATGATTAACTCTATACTAAGTAAGAAGTTCAACAAATAGTATGAAAAAACTGTTCCTCAACAGTTGAAACAAGGGCTGTACAAAGTCATTGCATTTCAGAGTGTCACTTTCACTTCTATAGATTACATTTTAGGTTATCACAGATCAGGGAGAACATATGGTATTTGTCCTTTTGGGAATGCCTCATTTCACTAGTACGATGTTTTCCAGTTTCATCCATTTTGTTGCAAACAACAGGATTTCATTTTCTTTTACTGCTGTGTAGAATTCCATGGTGCATGTATCCCTAATTTCTTTATCTGGTCGTCAGTTGACGGGCATATGGGTTGATTCCATATTTTAGCTATCATGAATTGAACTGTAATAAGCATGGGGGTACAGATAACTCTTTCATATGCATGGTCTTTCAACATTGCTCTTGCTGAAGCAGAGAGTGGGGGCCCAACAAATTTTAGGTATTTCCAAGCACAATTTGAACACCGCCTGCAATTCCTCAGTCTGCAGTTGAGAACATTCAGACCCAGAGAGGGGAAGTGATTCACAAAAAGAGACATGAGATGTGAGTTAGTCAATCAACACATTTTCATGGAGTGCCTGCAGGGTACCAGGTATGTTCTAGGTACTAGGAGGAGGGGCTGTCCACCCAGTGAGAGTGAATCAAGTTGTTACAAAAGAACTGTATAGGAGGGCACCAACCTGGGCTGAGAGTCAGTGGACCACCATGAAGAAGTGACACCATGAGCTATGCCCTACAGAATAAATAACTGACCACCAAGAAGGGCCAGAGTGTTGGAGCAGATGCAACAGCTTGGGTGAAGGCAGAAGAGGTGAGTTTAGTGCTTGGACTCTCAGTAGAGTACAATGGATCCTACTCAAAGCCCTGGAGCAGGATGAGATGGGGCTGCAGAATCAGGGACAGGTCCATGCACCTTGTTGAGGACTTGACACTGAGTCTCAGAGTCTGCAGGCCAAAAAAGGACTCTCAGGCACTGGGACTCAATCATTTGCATTAGAAGATAATTCACTGATACATGCAATGTGATAATGTGGCCTGGATCCTGGAATAAAACCTAGATATCAGGGGCCGATGCTGTGGTATAGTGGGTAAAGCCACCATGTGCAGTGCCAGCATCCCGTATGGGCACTGGTTCAAGTCCCAGCTGCTCCACTTCCCATCCAGCTCTCTTCTATGGCCTGGGAAAACAGTGGAAGATGGCCCATGTCCTTGGGTCCCTACATCCATGTGGGAGACCCAGAGTAAGCTCCTGGCTCCAGTTTTGGATCAGCACAGCTGCAGCCATTGTAGCCAATTAGGGAGTGAACCAGCAGATAGAAGATCTCTCTCTCTCTCTCCCTCTCCTTCTCTCTCTGTGTAACTCTGATTTCAAATAAATAAATAAATCTATAACATTTTTGGGGAGCAACTCGGACTAGACTAAGTTACTGGAATTAAGACTTATTCTATGCATCTGCTCTCCCACAATATGGTGCTGGGAGAGGAGTAAACAACTTTTACACAGCTGCCTCCAGTTCGACCAATAACCTGCAGGAGCTGATCCTGCTCCTGATTGGAGGAGAGCAGCGTACTTGGCGTGTGGGTAGCAGAGTTGGGATTGGTGGAAGAGGACTATAAAGGAGGAGAGAGACAACACACACCAGGGGAACATCTAAGGGGAACATCCGAATAACATCTGAGCAGCCCCCGAGAGAGCCGGCCGGCGGTGTGCCACTCCCCCGCGAAGTGGGGAAAGTGGCAGGGGGAACCGCCCTTCCACGGAGGTGGAAGGATCGGCAGCCAACCTGGGAAGGACCAGCAGCAAACCCGGGAAGGGCCGAGCAGACAAAAGAACAGCGCAGGGTCCTGTGTCGTTCCTCCACGAAGAGGGGGAGCGACAACATTAAAATAAAAAAATATAGACATCAGTGGGAAAAACTGAGAAATTTGAAGAAGTCTGTGTTTTGGGGTACTAGCATTATACTATATTTATTTCTTAGTTTTAATAAGTATATCATGGTTATACAAAACATTCACACTCAAGGCAGCAGGATTAGAGTATCCAGAAAGCTCTGTATCATCTTTGTAATACTTTTGTAAACACCAAATAATGTCAAAATAAAAATTTTAAAACGTGTATACCCCTCTCTCAGAGAGAAGAAAAACTGGATGTGGAGAGAGACTATAGTATTAAAGATGCCTAACACTTAAACAGTTTTTCCTATACACCAGGCATTGTTCCTAATACTTAACACGTCTTCTTAAAGTAATCCTCACAGTTCATGAATGGGTGCTACTGCTCCCCACTTTAGAGATCAGGAACCTGAGCACAGAGAAGGTAAGTCGCTTAACTGAGAACGCACGGCTACTGAGTGGAGAGCAGGGCTGTGAGAGCCTAGCTCCAGACGTCCTGTGTGCTTGACCGTCAGGTTTTATTCCCTCCCCTCAGTGCATACTGGTTACACTCCCAAGGGGACTGTAAGCACAGATGCAGGGGTAGAGTGGTGACAGCAGGAATGAAGCTGAGTCATTAGACTTAGATGCTTAGTGGCAGCAGAATCAACAGCTTTTGCTGTGTGAATTGGACTAAGGTAGCTGAAGGAGACATGACTCCTGGGCTTCTGCTCGAGGAAGCAGAGCCTACTCTCTGGATGCTCAAACCTTCGGGACCTTTTGCCATCAGCTGTCCCCTTCTCTTACACATTCCCCAAATGCAAAACAAGCAGGATTGGCTGCTGTTCCAACACAGGAAAACCTCCACCGCTCCATGCACTCCCAGTCTAGGAACCAGCTGTCTCTTCCACCCGAGATTCTCCCTTCCACCTTTCAGGGCTTCAGTCAAATGTCACCTCTTCCAGCAGCCCTCCATGCTTGTTTAAAGATGAGGAATGAGGGGCAGCACTGTGGCGTAGTGGGCTAAGCCTCGACCTGCGACACCTGCATCCCACATGAGCACTGGTTCAAGTCCCGGCTGCTCCACTTCCGATCCATCTCTCTGCTTTGGCCTGGGAAAGCAGTAGAAGATGGCCCGAGTGCTTGGGCTCCTGCACCCATGTGGGAGATCTGCAAGAAGCACCCGGATCCTGGCTTCGCATCGGCCCATTGTGGCTGTTATGGCCGTTTTGAGAGTGAACCAGTGGAAGAAGACTCTCTGTGTCTCCCTCTCTCTGTCTGTAACACTGCTTCTCAAATAAATAAATAAAATCTTAAATAAAAAAAAGCCACTCTACCTCCTCTCTCAGTATCTGAGGGGATTGCCTCCAGACCCCCCGCAGACACCAACATCCAAGGGTGCTCAAGTTCCTCCCATAAAAAGGCCTAGTGTTTGCATATAGCCCATTCCCACACCTTCCCATATCAGAAGAGGTCCCTGAATCACAATGGCTTGAGGTAGGATACTTTTGACTTTACCATAGGTTTATTGGGACATAGTCCCATTGCAAGTCCAGGAGCACCTGTACTTTAAATGATCTCTAGATGACTTATAACACCTAATACAAAGTACATGTTCAGCAAATAGTTGTTACACTGCATTGCTTAGGAAATCACAAGAACAGGTCTGTAGGTGTTCGGTACAGGCTTTTTTTTTTTTTTTTTTTGCCACTGTCAATGCAAGGTTGCAGAACGCAGGGATACGGAGGCAGGTGGGACTTGGCTGCACCTTCTCTACCCTCCCCAGCCGCAGGCAGCCTTGTCTTGCACCCCATTGAAGAGCAGCCCATCAAAGAAGCCTTACCAAGGATGGACTGGTTGGGAACGGGTAGACCTGGTGCCCCTGGGATCACCCCTGACCCATCTGACCTAGCTCCTATGGCATGCCAAGTGGAGTCGGAGGCCACAGCCATGAATCCAGCTCAGCCCAGCCCGTGAAGCGCGTGGGAGGTTCCCGGCCACTGAGTTCCTAGGGCATTCTAAAGCCCTCCTGGTGGCTACCCAGCACCACTCAGAGCCACAGGCCCGCCTTTATTCAAGGCTCATGCCAAGGTCATCACCGAGCAGCCATGGCCCCACTCACCAGCTTCCTGCCTGTCTTTATGCTGGCCCTGCGGAGCTGAGTGAGTGGGCCAGTCTCCTGACCGCCTCCCCATGTCTCCGACTCCTGGCTCAGCCCCAGCCCTGCCTCAACAGGGCACTCCCCTGGGACCCACCAAACCCATGCCAGAGCAGGTTTGGCGTTTGTTCTGCCGCTTCTATGTCTGCATTCACTGCTCTCCCCGTCTACACCGAGTGTCTCTCTGGCAATGACCATGGCTCAGTCTCCCCAAGCCTGGCAGGGCGCTTTGGTGCAAAGAAAACACAGGCTACCTTTATGGCATGTCAACCTTTATGGCACCATTCACTTGAGGGCAGAATCTGACTACTTCAGGGAGAAACCAAGACACTCGGGGGCCAGGCACCAAGCAGCGGGGATGCCAGGCTGTCTCTGCCCCTCCTCCTCCCGCTCTCTACTCTCAGGATCTAGAATTCACATTTTATGGGAAACAGGCCACTGTCCCCTGCTCCTGCGCGGGGGAGGGCTGGGCGCGGGCAAAGGGCACCTTGTCTGACCAGGTCCTGGGGTCCTGGGGTGGGGGCGGTGCTCGGCGCTCTTTAGGGACAAACCCTGTCAGTGGTGTTGGACAGTGACCGCGACGGGGCGGAGGGTCCCTGCCCTGGGGGGGGGGGGACCCCGCCACTCGTCCAAAGCAGAGGTTCGGGCCCAGGGCACAGCCCCGTCTCCTGCTCTGTTAGGAGAAGGGAGGGGGCGCTTCAGGCTTTGGAAAAGCAACCCCACTGGAAACCTCGGTGGCGCCACCTCGCCCGCTAATGCCCACCGCCTTCTTCCGGCTGCCTCTCCAGCGAGGAATGAGCCCTGGCTCCCGGGTTCTAGTCTCAGCCCCGCCCGGGCCCGGTCTCGGGCCTTCGTCTCCTCATCTGTCAGCTGGGGCCAGGGCTGGAGTGAGGGCCTGCGGGAGCCCTTTCAGCTCGGACCGCGCCAGCTCCGGGGTTCTCCCCGCGGCTGCTCCGCGCCCGCCCCATCTTAACTCCACCCCCACCGGCGCCTTCGGCCCCGACGCCGGCCGCTAGGGGTCACTGCCTCCCTTTGTCAGCGACCGAGGAGCGCCGCCCGCCCTGAGGCCCGCTGCCCCTGTCAGAGGCGGCCGAGGGGGCATCTAGGGCGCGAGGGGGCCTGAGCGGGACCCCGCGGCCCTCGCTCCGCAGCGCCGGTGCCCCGGGCCGGGAGGCGCGCGCGCGCGCCCGGGCGCGCCTCGGAGCCGCGAGGGGGTTAACGCTAACCCCTCCCCCTCGGGCTGACATCACGGGCGAGCGGCTGAGAGGCTGGGGCTCGGCGAGTGAGGAGAGAAAGAGAGCGAGAGCGGCGAGCGCGGCTGCACTCGGCGCCCGAGCAGCTCCACAGCGTCGCGGGTCGCCGGCGCCCGGCACAGCGCAGGCAGCGAGGACCCGCACCCCGGCTCGCCCTCCTCGCGCCCGGACCGGCCGCCCGAGCCGCCGCGGCCGCTGGCCGCCGCCTGGGCCCCAGCCCCGCTCGCCGCCCGGGCTCGTCCCGCCACCCTCGGAGGACGGCCGGCCATGGACGCCTGCAGGCGGGAGCCGCGCGGGAGGCTGTGAGCGCGCGGGGGGCCGGGAGCCCGCGCCGCGCAGCCGGGCAGCCGGGCGCGCCGGGGGTGGGTCCCTCTCCCCAGCCCGGCTCTGCGTGGAAGAAGAGGGCGGGGACCGGCGCGGGGCGGAGAGCGGAGGAGGCGAAGGGGGCATGACTCGTGCAACTTGCGGCGGGCATCTGCCGAGCCTCTGAGCCGGCGGCGGCCCGGGGCCCGGATCGCGGCCGCGCCGATCGCACCCAGCGCACCCCGCCCCGGCCGACAGCCGCTGCTGACCTGGATCCTCGCAGCGCCCGCCGGCCGCCAGCGATCCGCCCTCGTCTTCCGGGCTGTTTTCTGGAGCGCGAGGGCCGCTCTCCCCGCCGGACCCCCGGCCCCCGATGGCTCGGATGGGGCTTGCGGGCGCCGCTGGACGCTGGTGGGGACTCGCTCTCGGCTTGACCGCGTTCTTCCTCCCAGGTAAGCGCGGTCGCCGCCGTCGCCCCCCACCCCATCCAGCGCCTCCGCGGCGCCGGCAGCGGATGGCGGGCACGGCCGGGGCGGGGGGCGGTGGGGGGATGTAGGGAGCGAAAGGAGCCGGGAAAGTTGGGTCGCGGCTCGGGTGAGGGGCTGGGAGGCGGCCCGGCAGGGAGAGGGGCCGGGGAGCCCCCGGAGCCTGCCCTGCAGGGGAGCAGTCGGATGCACGTCTCTGTGCAGCGAGAAAGCACTTTCCCCGCGCAGTTCTTCACAAAAATAATCATATGTAATCGCGTTCTATTTATTTAATAACCAGTTCTCAGCCCGGGAGGCAGTTTGGAAACACCGCATGTTACACAAATGCAAAATAAGCGCCCTAGTCGCCGTCCCCGGTCGGAGACCCAGCCCCGGCGGGGAGGCGCTCGGCTCCGAGCCGCGGGGCTGCGCGGTTGGAGGGGCGCGGGGGGCTTCGTTTCTCTCGCGGGCCCCTGGGTCGCTCGGGCCCCTCCCGCCGCGCGTCGCCCCAGCGCGGGCTCCTGCGGCAGAAGCGGCTTCGCGCTCACCTGCGGTTCCCTCTCCCGGCGGCGCAGGCCGGGGCCGCGGGCACCGCGCGGGACTGGGCTTTTCCGCGGAACTCCGCGCACGGTTCCGGGGCTCTTCCCCGGAGGAGGCGCCTCGGCTGCGTGCGGGCCAGGTGGCCGCATGACCCACTTTCCCCAGGGGCCCCGAGGGTGCCCCGCGCGTCCTTCCTCGAGGTGCGGGCCGCCGGCAGCCGAGGAGTTAACCCGGCGCCGGACCCTGGGGTGGCCCCGGTGGCCCTTTCTGACGGGTGGGGTGGGGGCGGAGGCTAGGACCGGCCCAGGCACATTGTGCTGGGGAATGAACTGGAAAATGCGTTTAGGAGGCAAATCCGACCGAGTCCTCTCGCCTGGGTTTAACCCTTTGTGTCCCCGGGGAAGCCGCGAGCTCCCGGCAGTGGCTGGGGGCACTGAAGGGGGTGTGTGTGTGTTCTTCCCTAATCCTCAGGGAAGAAACCAGAGAGGACATCCTGCCCTAGCAAGATGAGTGTCGTGTTTTGGGGGTGGGGGCTTGACTGCAGCACGTGGTACTCGCCTTGGGGTGACAAAATCGGGGTGGGAGTTGAGCCACCAGCGCCCGCCCGGGGTGCCGCAGACTCTTGTGTAGTTAGTGGAGAGGGGCCGGCCTGGCTGCCCTTCTGAGGGCTTGGGGACACTTCTGTGCCCCTTCTGCCCCTCAGCTCCCTGCGGGGACCCCGCAGATCTCTGCGTGTGATGGGCAGCAGGTACTGCCTGCGGGGGAGGGCGAGATTCCGGCCTCACAGGTGTCACTGCCACCTCACAGCGGCAGGGCAGCACTGCCCCCAGAAGGAGACTGGGCGAGAGGGAGGTTTCTGTCTGGCCGTGGACTGCCTGGACAGCTGGCCGGAGAGGCCGATGCTGGGGCTGTAGGGTCTGCCTGACCACCAGGGTGGGGGCTCCTGGGACTCTGTCTCCTGCATCCACAGAGAGAGCTTTTCAGCAGCTCTGATTGGTCTGGCGCGTTAGGGGTTAACCTAATCCCCGGTGGACAAAGGGCGGGAAGGTTTGGGGGAGGGGGACGAGCTCACCCTCCCCCCCTTCCTTTTGGGCTCTTCCTCCAGCTTTGTGTGACTCAGTGGTTAGCTCCCTGGTGGGGGGGGGGGGGCCGGTGCCGGCTGCTGCAGGGTTCAGCCCTCGCACACCCCTGGGAAGCAGAGACAGGAGGTGACACCCGGCTCAAGGTGGATGCGCACCCCACCATCACCAGAGAGCCACACGAGGGGGTGGCAGTCGGAGAAGAGAACCATAGCCAAGCCAGGCACTTAATAAGCACTCTTCCATTGATCGCAACTGATGGATGGGTCGCATCCACGGCAGGCAAAGTTCCCCGACTCGCCAAGCTCCCCATCCAGTCCCTGTTCTCCTGGTGCCGACTCTTGGGGATGCTGTGACGGGAGATGGGGAGATACAGATGTGCCCAGTGCCACACCTGGGCCAGGTCCCAGAAGTTGTCATCACCTGCCTTCCTCCCAGCTGCCCACTCCTGCTTCTTCCTGGGGACACAGGGGTCTGGCGCCCTTTTTCGGATTCTCCTGGGCTGTGGTCGGGATGCAGGTCGGGGGCCGGGGCCAGTGTGTGTGATGGCCTCTGACTTGGAAGCACTCCCGATCCGCCTGCTGAAGCACACACAGAGAAGTGTGCAGACAACACAGACTTCACCCTGGAGCCGGTTTCCTGGCATGACAAGCTGTGGTTCCTTCCCGTTAACTTCCAGGAGAGGGTCCGTGGGCATGGGGAGTGCACCCTGCACAGGGACACGGGGAGCCCGGGAGGAGACTGAGGAGCAGGGGTCCCACCCACACCGCACCCTCCCTAATTGGCTTCCCCACACCTTTTGTCTGGAAGGAGAACACACACCCCGAGTTGTTGAGTTGTGAGTTGTCGTGCACACCCTCATGAGACCTGTGGGGCTGCAGCCTGTGCAGACCTTGCAGCCGAGATGGTTCCCTCTGGAACTCGCAGCGTCCAGCCGGCTGGGTTCTTTCCCTCGCTCACAGACCGCGGTATGCTCAGGCTTGCCGGGCAGGGCATTCTGGCAAAACCGATTGTGCTGGCCTGGGTGTTGCAGGAGGTGTAAATGGGAATCTGTGCGGTGGAGAGGGCCTCCAGAGCAGATTCAAGGCGTCATCGGCTTGCGGCGGGGAAGGGAGGGGAGGAGAGACTGCCAGCCTGGGCCCAGCTGCCCTGGCAGAGGGGTCAGGGTGGTGTCTCTTGAACCTGGGCTTTGGAGCGCTCCTGACCGGTCCCCCAGGTTGGCTGATGTGGGCTCAGACTAAGAGTGGCTGCATTTCCCTCGCTGACCACTTAGCTTTGCTCCATGAACCCGCCTTGGCCACTCCTGACCCCTGGCCCCGGTTGTGAGCCTCGGCAAGCTCATGGCAGCCAAAGCCCAAGTGCTGATGGCTGAGCAGGTGGGCCCTGCTGGCAGGGCAGGGGGTCGGCCCCAGGTGCTGTGTGTGTGATGCGCCATTGTTTAGCAGCTGACTAATGTTCATTGTTCAGCACAAACAGAAAACACCCAAGGGAGGTGTGCATGTGTCTTCGATTTTTCTGATTGTATCTCTCCTGGTTAACCTGGTAAATGGAATGCCTCCTGCCTGGGGGAGGGGCAGATGGAAGGGTGTCTGCTTCTTTCCCCATTTGGCTGCGTTTTTCTGTTCTTTAAACTTTGACCGTTAGCCAGCGTGCCAGGCCACCGTGGACACTGGCGGTCGGCTCCCCTTTCGTCTAGCGCGGGCGCGTGGGCACATGCGTGTGAGGCTTTGTGTGTTTGTGGTGGCCGTCTGCAAGGCACTGTGCGAGGCGTGTGCAGATCTGCGGAGACTGGATTATTCAGCCGTGTGTGCGTGTGTGCACTGCTATCTTTGGGTCACCGTGGGACTGGAGTCATAAATATATGATACCAAATGTAGGTTACACGCAATGATTTCTTGTGATGTTCTGACAAGGACCTCGTGAGTGCTTCTGAGCCTTGGCGCTGCTCAGGGAGGGTGACTTTGGGAGGGGACCCAGGGTTTGCCCTTGGCCAGCTCCTCCCGAGACAAGCTGCTGGATCCGGCGCCTATGGGGAGTGGGGTGCCACATACACACTTCTTTTTTCTCATCTGTCCTTGACTTTAATCCTGCCTCTGCCTCCTCTCAGGGAGATGCCTGGGACCTTCACAACACCTGGAGAGCCGTCCCTCTGTTGTCAACCTTCTGTTGTCTGCTTGGCAAACCGAACAGCTCTGGATCTGGTGCCAACTCAGGCCTGGCCTGCCCCATGGGTTCTCATGACCCATGAATGGCTGCAAAGGGCTGAGAGAGGTTTTCAGCTCCTAATCTGGCATCTTGGCTTCCTGCATAGGTACCCCCTGACGGGGAGGGGCATCAGAGGATCATGGGGTGGCAAGGCAGCATAGGTGGGTACTGAAGAGGGGCAGGGGGGCTGGTGCTCTGGGCAGCCTTGCAGAGCCATGTGGGGGCCCAGGGGGTAACGTGCATGCACCTGGGAGCATCCCAGGTTTGCACAGCAGAAAGTCGGAGCCCCCTTGTAGGGAAAGGAAGTGGGAGTCAGCACAAGGAGTGGGGAAGAGGGCAGTCCTGGGGGCCCAGCACCCTGTGCCCCAGCCCAGCCGGAAGACGTTTGGCCCATGCTGCCTGCCGGTCCACAGAGACCATGTGTGCAGAGCAGCCAGCAGATGTAGGGCTGGGGCAGGAGGTAACTTAAGATCTGAGCAGGGATCACCTTGCCTAGGGACTGCCCTGAGCTGGAGATAACACCCCCTTATTCCAGTTAACCCTTTAAGCACTGGGCTCTCTCGTGCTGTTTGGGACTGGGAGATCCCAGGAATGGGAAGAGAGATGACAGAAGCCATCAAACCATAGTGCCTGAACCCTGACCCACTCCTCAAAGAGAGATGAACTCCGGACAACACAGAGACACACGAAGGACACCAAGGAAGACTTGGTGACAGCAGTGGTGGGATGTTTAGGGCAGTGGGTAATCCCAGGTTTATCCTGGGTGGGGGTTGGATTGTGCGTCTTGGGGGCTTACAAGGGCCTATGTTTTGCAACCTCTCAGGGGAGGAGAGCGGGGCAACAGAAAGCTCAGTGTCTCTCCCCACACCGGTGGTTTCCCTGTCCTGGCCGCCCAGCGTAGTGAGACCACAGAATGGGGCCAAGTGCACTGACTGGGATCCCAGCATGACCAGTGGTTAGCTGAGTGACCTTGATTATGCTTTCCCACCTGTGAAATGGGTTTCTGTTCATGCAGATTTCCAAGGAGGTTTGTGAAGAAGAGATTGGGGCTAATGCATGAACAGTATTTAGCCCATTGCAAGGTGCATCGTCATCATGCAGTCATGGGGTAACTGCTGGTCCCCAAGCCTCTCCTCTGAACGGCCCTGGCCCCTGTGAGTCTGC